ATTGCTGCCCCAACACCCAATATCTATTAATCTTTTTTAGGACATTTGTGTATCCAATTTCGACCATTATGAATAATGCTGGTTGAACATTCGTGTACAAGTCTTGTGTGTGAGAGGTGTTTCATTTCTTTTGTATAATTACCTACAAGTGGAGTTGCTAGATCATAGTGTGGTGCTGTGGATCAGCACTGGACTGAGTTTGGCAGTTCAAACCCACCAGCTGCTCTTCATAAACCCTCTACAGGGTCACTGAGTCATAACCAACTTGATGGCACTTAACAAGAGTAGCACTGGACTGGTAACTGCAAGGTCAGCAGTTCAAACCTACCAGCCAATCTTGGAAACCCTCTAGTGGATTGTTATGAGTCGCAACTTGACTCGACAGCACGCAACAGAGTAGGTGTATTTTTAACTTACTAGGAGATGGCCAGTTTTCCAAAGAGTTGAATATATTTACCCTCACAGCAGTGTGTGAGTGTTTCTCATTCTTGCCAACATTTAATTTGAGGCATTCTTTTGGATTGAATGGTGTAACTTGTATTTCTATGACTACTCATAAGGTTTAGCACCTCTCCATGGGTTTATTGGCTATATATATTTTTTATGAAAAGCGTGTTTACATCTTTAACTTATTTTAATTATTTGGGTTGCCTTTTTATATTTGGATTATAGGAGTCCTTTTATATTCTAGAGACAATTCCATTTTTAGATAGGTATTCTGACTATTTCCTCTCAATTTGTAACTTGAATTTTATTTTCTTAATTTATTTTGAGCAGAAGTTTTTAATTTTAATAAGGCCAATTTATCACTTTTAAAAGTTGGGGATGATGGTAAGCAAAAATGTCTTTACTAATCCCAGGTCACAGGTTTATTCACCTATATTTTCTTCTTGAAGACTTGTAGTTTTAGCTTTTATGTTTCGGTCTGTGTTGTTGTTAAGTGCCGTTGAGTTGGATCTGATGCCTAGCAACAGTGCGCATAGGGTTTCCAAGTAGCAGCTGGTAAGTTTGAACTGTTGACCTTCAGGTTCAAACCGACCTTGAAATTGAGTTGAGTGTTGATTCTATGGCCCCACATCAGGACTCTCAAATCAACTTTTTTGTGATGCATGAAACAGAGACCAATGTACTTTTTTCCCATACATACAGCCATACATTCCTATTTTTAGTCTGTTCTGTTCCATTGGTCTGTCTATTCTTATTATAACGAATGTCTCAATTACAGTAGCTTTTCAACATGTTGTAAAATCAGATAAATGTGAGCGCTCCAACAGGATTTTTACTTTTTCAAAACTGTTTGGCATTTTAATTTCACTTTTAAGTCAATTTGCTTATTTCTTCAAAAATTATGTTGTGAATTTGTTAGAATTACTTTGAGTGTATAGGTCAATTTGGGAAGACTTGATTCGTAAGTATTGAGGCTTATCGAAGCATGGTATGAGGAATTCTGGTTCCATAGTGAATTACGAGTTGGGCTGCCAACTGCAAGGTCAGCAGTTCGAATCTACCGGGCACTACTCTGGAGAAAAATGAGGCTTTCTATTTCTATAAATATTTTCAGCCTCGGAAACCCTGTGCTGTGAGTTGGAACCAACTCCATGGCACATAACCACCACCACCATCACTAAGCATGATATAGTGTTGCGAACATGTTGTTGTTAAATGCCATCGAAGTTGTTAAATTTATTGTCATAAAGTTGTTCATAATAGTCTTTATTGAACCCCTGGCGTGGCACTGCAGGATAAGCATTGAACTATGAACCACAAGGTAAGCAGTTCAAACCCACCAGCTATCCTCAGAAGTCCTATACAGTGTCACTATGAGTTGGAATCCACTTAACAACAAGTCTTTTTTTACGTTGTTTAGGAAAGCTTTGATTGTGAATTGAGTGGTAGTTTTACATGGGAAAGCATTGGTTTTACTTGTCCTATCGTTTTTCATTTCATTGCAATGATTACAATCCCCTACATGCATCATCATTCAACAGTATTTGCTTCTATCCCCTCTGGTTTTTGTTTGGATGTGCACAGAAACACTCAGGAATATATAATCATTTAAACAATCAAAGGGAACAATTCTGCAAGCCTGCCTCCTGGCTCCCAGCACACAGCGTTGATCTTTCCTTAAGTCTAGGGTCCTCATCTACTCTCTCTCTCCATGTCCTCATCTTTGCCTCCATCTCTGGTGTGGCTGCTTTTCTGGGTAGAGTCCCATATTCCACTCCTGCTCATCTCCCTAGATGGTCCTAGGGTCCTCTGTTCCTGGAATGTTAGGTTAGCTACTCCCCCATTTATTTTATAAAACTTCTGCCTTTTCAGTTGTGAACATCACAATCAGTCATAACAATTGCTCATTATTGAATCAGAAGAATCTTATCCCCATCTCCTTTCACCAGACCCATCTAGACAAGATGAAAACTATTCAATGGGGATTCTACTTTCCCCCACGCACTCTGAAACTAACCTTTCTCCTGAAACTTTGTAAGCCAGCCACTTCCTGCTTTTGTTTTGTTGTTAAGTACTGTTGTGTCGATTTCCACCCCAAACGACCCTGTATAGGGTTTCCAAGGAGCAGCTGGTGAGCTTGAACTGCCGACCTTGCAGTTAAAATGGCTTTGCAGTCTGTCGCATTAACCCACAGCGGTGCACCAGGACTTCCTGCTTTTATAGTAGGTAGCCAGTGTCTAAGTTTTATTTTAGGTAGCCAGTGTCTAAGTTGGCTGTGCCTATCGATACTGTGTACAGAGGGGAGAGGTTTGATCCTTGATATGAAGACTTCTTCCCTCTCAGTTGGTATTTTGAGCTACTATGTCCATAAGTATAGGTCAAGTTCTTCAAATTGTAGCAATTTACAGTTGTTTCTTTTATCAAATTACTTTCTTTCTCTAATCGAGTTCTGATCCTCAAGCCATCAAAGTTAGGTTAAATGGGTATTATCTGCAAGTTTGGGTATTCTTGTGTGTCTCCCCTCACTTCATATCAGCTGGACACGTCACTCTCAACTCTAACCCTCATGGCTAGGTCCTTGCCTATGGGCTTAGAAGTCCCCAGGTCTTACCGCACTTTGGACCAACCAGCCTTCTGATTTCTCTCATCTTCAGGTCAACAGGAGTCTATGGAGCATGGTCGAACTCAGCCCATGTCTTCATTGTGGCTTCATCCCCACTTCCACTCATCAGTAGGCCACCATGGTTGCCGCAAGCTTACATGCCTGCTTATGTGTTCCCTTTGAGTTTCATTCTTGGAGGGGAGTTTGTCCTGATTGAACTTGATTGTTTCCCAGCAAACAACTTGCTTGATCTTGTAATAGCCAAACAGACTACAGTTTTTGGTTTTTTCTCCTGCTGGTTTTTCTTTTATTAAGAAGTATCTTCTGTTCCTCTAGCCGCTCAGGGCTGGCCTGCATGTCTTTTCAGGTGGGAATGTCCCACCTCAGAAGGTTCTGGATGGGGCAATAGTTTTTTTAATATGTAGTATTTTGCTTGGTAATATATTCTTTTTCATTCCTAATATTAATAATTTGTATTTTCTCCTTTTTCTTGATTGGTCTTGTGACGGGTTTAATTATTTTCCTAATGTTTACAAACAGTCATTTAATTTTATCATTATAAGTTAACTTATTTATTATGGTATTTTGATCAGAGAAAGTAGATTCCCTACTCAAGGTAATGAATAAATTTTCCTGTAAAATTTTTTGTTTTAAAAAGATGAGCCAATTAAAAGAAAACATGAAATACAGGTGAGATAGGTATCTGACAAAATTGGAGAATTGATATGTGTCAGAGATTGGATTTAACTTTGGTGGAGAAGGTAATATGGAAATGAGGAAATTTTAAGATTCACTTCTTCAGTAATTCTCAGACTTGTGACTATTTCTGTTTCATTTGCAGTATTAACCTTGGTTTAGCTAGTGTCCAAAAGGTCCAAAAGGTCAGCGGTTTAAACCCAGCAGCTGCTTTTATGAGAGAATGAGGTGGTGGTTTGCTTCCATAAAGATTATCACCTAAGCAACACTACAGGGCAGCTCTACTCAGTCTTACAGGGTTGCTGAGTTGAAATTGACTGGACAGCATTGGGTTTTATTGAGTATCTGCTCTGTGCTGGGAACTAGGTCCTGGGCTATAATGAGAAATACAGAGTTACCTTGTAGTCTAGGTATAAAAGAGGGCAAGTGCATTCATGGCAGCAGATGTAGACTGTTCATGATAAATGCTGTCAGAGGAAAGAAAACAGAAACCATTCCACGTCTTAGCACTTACAGGACATAGTAGAACTGAGTTCTGATAGGACAAGGTTTCCAAGACTGTGAGGTGTATGGAAGCAGACTGCCATCTTTCTCCTGTGGAAGTGCTGGTAGGTTCAAACCACTAACTTTTTGCTTAGCAGTCAAGTGTTTTAATGAGTAAATCACCAAAAGAAATGATTGTATCAGAAGTGGGATTCAAATCCATGCCTCCATTTGGAGCCTAAAATCCCCAGTTAAAGGAAGTGGAATTTGAGTCTGTTACCCTAGACGACTCGCCATCCTTAACAAAAGAAGCAGAGGTCATGTCTGGCTGTGGACTTGAGGCATTGGCTCAGACTCCCCTTAGAACCAAGGTGCTCTTCTCCCTGCCATGTCCAGTCTCAATCCATACCATGTTTTTTGGGCAAAGGGATAATTCTTTGTAAGACTTACCATGAGAAGCCCTGTGTAGAAGTGTCACTGGCGCTCAGAAGACAGAGTGGCTGTCAGAGTTCAGGTCCCAGCTATCAGAGTTCAGGTCCCAGCACACCTGACTTTAGCTGGATAATGACGTACTTGTTTTGAGTCCCAGTTTCCTCATCTTTCTTGGTCTTAATTAAACTTAGTGTTCATCCTGCTTCATAGGGTAGCATATATGAGAGCCATTTGTGATAGGAATTTGTACAGCATCTTCATTCGGTTGTCAGTTTTGGAATAGTGCTGGATAATGATTTTGAGGGTGTTTAATTCTTCTTCTCATATTTTTCCCCCCCAGGTCTTGAAGCAGAGCTTTATTATGTGAGGAACGACCTTATTAGTCATTACGCTCTATCTTTTAACCTGTTAGTACCCAGTGAAACAAATTTCCTGCACTTCACTTGGCATGCAAAATCCAAGGTAAGAGGTGGCTAAGAGCAGACTGTGTATGTATGATAGGGCCAGCCAAAGACCAAGGCAGGGGCTGTGTGAGGGATGGGCTCATAATACACTGTACAAAAGAGCCGGTGGGTGGTGGGTGTTTTCAGTATGTTTTAAATATGTAGCCTGTTCCTTCATACATTTCTCAAATCCTTTAAAAGGGAAGGTGGTCATCATTTCAGTGATTAGCACATGACAGAACATTTAACATCCTTTCAGGCTTTCAAACAGGAATGCAGATGAAGTTTGAGAAGGGATGCTACCTAAAGGATAAAGACTACTGTTGTGGCCAAGAAGTGACACTGGGGAGCGGGGAAAGGGTTGTTGTTGTTAAGTACTGTGGAGTCGGTTCTGACTCATAGTGACCCTGTACAGGGTTTCCAAGGATGTAAATCTTTACGAGAGCAGAACGCCTCATCTTTCTCCCATGGAACTGCTGGTAGTTTCGAACTGCTGACCTTGAAGTTGGAAGCCTGACACGTAACCACTATGCTACTAGAACTCCGTATGTTACACTGTAGGGATGGTATTAATAACATGAAATAAAATGGGTATGAATTGTTGAATGGAAAGCTGTTTTACACTTGAAACCTTGACCCAATTCACAATAAAGAGTTAAAAAAAAAGATGTAACCAATGTCGCAGAAGAATCTGTATATAAAAATTAGTAAATGGGAACCTAATTTGCTTATTATTAATTTTGTCTTCACTGCTACATTTCCCCCAGTTCCACTCACAAATTGACCCAGGTGGGTTACCAGCAAGCATACGGCTCACTGGTTCCCTTTACCTGTCAGTCCTAGAAGGTTCTCCCACGGAACAGCTGGTAGTTTCGAATTGCCAACTTTGAGGTTAGCAGCCCGATTCGTAACCACTATGCTACCAGAGCTCCTTATATCAGTGTACATAGTTCTTGTATTTATGGTGAACACTCAAGAGTAGGTGCAGCCCACAGTCACCATGCATACTGTAATGAAGTTTCCTTAACCTGAAAATCAGATACTCCAGAATCTTGTACTTGGCTTGCTTGTGGCCCAATTCTTCACATTTTCTCTGACTGCCTGAACTCCTCATGGGTCCAAGAGTGGAAGGCAACTTTATTCCCTTTTTCAGCATTATACTTAGGCTTTTGAATAGGGTTTTATTTAGGAAGTAAAAATAGCCTTGCAGCTAAAAATAAATTACAAAACAAAGCAGAGTTTTTAGTTTGTTTTACTTTAAGTATTATAAAGTGTTATCTGGTCAGGTATCCCATACAAGTTACTTAGATCTGACCACTTTAATACCAGTCTTCTTATCATTAGACAATGATAGGTTGGGAAAATCCAGACAAATTACTTCAGTTCTTTTATGGCTTTATTAAATGATACTGTAGGACATATGGTGTATTATTACTGATGCAGTGCCCCACTGAAACACATGTGGATTCTAAATGGTGCTTTACTATTCAGACAATACTTCCTTTCACACTGTTACACACAGGCTCCTTCATTTCATTTGGCAGGCAAAACCTGTAGTCAGAGGGCGATGAAAACAATTGGTAGTTCATCTTTTATTGCTGTTTCAATCTTGTTATTGTTGAATATAAAAACAAAAAGTATATAAATGTGCGGGTATACATATAGGAGCCCGGGTGTGGCGCCGTAAAATAAGCAAAAGTCAACATTCCAGACTCACCAGCCAGTCCTTGGAAACTCTATATAGGGTCACCACGAGTCAGAATGGCACTTTAACAACATCAGATGTATATGTGTGTGTTTGAATGCATATGAATGTATGTGTCTACATACGAATGTTTAATGTACGTACACCTTCACCTTTGCTCAGAAATGTTTGTGAATTGTGTAACAGTGAAAGGCAGCATTGTCTAAAGTAGTAAAGTGCTGTTTAGAATCTACATGTCCTTCAATGGGGTACTGCATAAGTCATAATACATCATATTTTTATTCAATATCATATAACCAAGCCATTAAAAAAGAATGGAGGTAATGTCTGTGTTTTCTCAGCACTAAAATATTATTAAGATGTGAACTGACTGGGTCAAAGAGTAGACAAGTTGAAAATTTTGATGGTGTATCTGTGAAGTGCTGTTGAGTCAGTAGGTCAAGCACAACAATTGTGAGGATGGCACAAGATTGGGCAGTGTTTCGTTCTGTTGTGCATGGGGTCACTATGAGTTGGAACCAACTTGACAACACCTAACAACAATATAGTTTTTTAAAATCCTCTTCCTCACCACGCTTTAGTTTCAGATACTAGTTTTATCATTTGAGTTTGGAATGAGTTCCTATTTCAGTAAGTCCTGTGGTAGAGGGTGGCCGCTCCCTTTAACTGCAAGAGGTTCAACGTGTAATGGACTAGTCTCTGTGGTGACACTGTGGTGGCCCTATGGGGCAGTTCTTTTCTGCTCTGTCGGTTGATGAATTAGAATCAAGAGCAATGGGTTTGGTGTGGTTAAGTTCTAATCAAAGTTTGTTGCTTATCCTATCAACACACCAGGGTTCATTGTGCATATATAGGCATGTGCATACATTTCTACTTAAGCATAGAGATGAGGGAACTTCAAAAGGTTCATGGAAAATGGAGTTTTAATGAATTTTCCCATGAACTTTCTGAAGTTCCTCAAATGCATATATTTATATATCCCTATCTATTGGAGCCCTGGTGGTGCAGTGGATTAAATGTTGGACTGCTAACTGGTTTGGTGGTCCAGACCCATTAGCCGCTCTATTGGAGAAAGAAGAGAGGCAGGCTGTCGACTCCTGTAAAGATTTACAGTCTTGTAAAGGCAGTGGTGTGGTGCTGTGGGCTAATGCATCAGACTGCAAAGCCGTTTGAACTGCAGAGGTCGGTGGTTCAAGCTGATTAGCTGTTCCTTGGAAACCCTATACACAGTTGATATGGGATGGAATCGACTCAATGGCATTTAACAACAGCTACAACAGAGTCTTCTCTATCCTACAGGATTACTGTGGTTGTAACCCACTCATCAGCTTTGTGGAAGAAGGACCTGATGGTCTGCTTCCATGAAGATTCTAGTCAAGAAAGCCCTCTGGGACCGTTCTACTCTGTCACGTGGGGTTGTTATGAGTCAGTGTGCTCTGACAGCACATCATACAACAACAATCATGGTCGAAAGATAAGAACATAGAAAATTGAATCAGTAGTGCTGTAGGATAAGCACTGGACTGCCAACCACAAAGTTGGTGGCTCAAGCTTATCAACAACAACTCAGAAACCATGTATAGGGTCTCTATGAGTTGGATCTGACTCCCTGGCACTTAAACAACAATAGCCTATCAATTGATATATAATTTTAACAAGTAACGTGCAAAACCCAAAACTCATTGCTATCGAGTTGATTCTGACTCAGTGACCCTATAGTGTTTGGTTTTCAAAGCTGTATATCCTTACTGAAGTAGCCTACCGTATCTTTCTCCAGAGAGCACCTAGTGGATGAGCAGTTAGTGGGTTCAAACTGTCGATCTTTGAGTTTGCAGCTAAGCACTTAACCATGGAACCATCAGTGCTCCTCTCACATGCTGTATATCTGCAGTTTTCAAATCACTGAACAATGCTTTTTGGTAAAGGTTGTCAGTCACTTGATGTCTTCTCTCTGAAATGGCTATGTCATATAGTATTATGTATGGTTGTACTTTGGTTTATTGATGAGTTACTATGAGAGGAAAGTAAATTTGTGAAGGGACTTGCTTAAGATGTAACAGGCCTTGAGGAAGCAGGATGCAGAGGTGAGCTAAATTGGGAAAGCGACACAAGGGGCCAGGGGAGATGTGGGCAAAAGGTTCTTTTGATCGCATTGTCTTCAGAATGCACTCATGAACTTTGAGAAGGAGACCCATGACTCCTCAGATCTCTTTATCAGAAACTCTCAGCTCTTGTTGTCTTAAGATTTTGCCAGAAGATGAATATTTGCTTCCAAAGATCCCCAGGTTCGCTGGAATTTCAGTCTAACATTACAGATATATTAACATTAGTTTTCATATATCAAAGCTCCTGCTAATAGTGTTATTTCCCAGTGTTTAGAGAATTCAGTTTTGTTTTTCCATATAGCATGCTGTCTCCTCAGAGGCTGGACTGTGTCTTATTCTTGACATGAACATCTCACATGCCTTAGTGAGAGGTTGTTAAATGCCATGATGTTAATTTCGTTTCTAGAAATGATGAAAACTCTGATGTTGGCTTTCTGTTCACAAGGCCACACACTCAAAAAGTAGAAGACAAATGGGGTGGTTTTTTAACAGATAGTTTTTTTTTCCGTATTCTAGAGAACATTCTTCCATATCTACATAATATTGATCATATTACGTATCAATAGATATTTTAGATAGCTGATAGACAAACATACAACAAAATGTAGTAGCAGAATATTCCTCCCAGCCTTCTTCCGCCCCATAGCTGCTTTCTGGTTTCAGAAATTCATCATTGTCAGAAGGGACTGTAGGGAATTTGTCCAGAGTCCATACATCAGCTTCTGGGAACACAGCCTCCTTGTGTCCCCTGAAGAGTGAGGCTTCTGTGAGAAAGGTGTGCTTCTGATAAATTTGAAAGCTGTAGGCAAATGTATTCACTTTAAATGTCTACTGTCCATGTTCCAGGAGGAAGTGGCTTTACTCATCAGCTAACTATTCGCAGTTGCTATTTATTTCCAAGTAAGCGCACATTACCAAAACTGTTAATATTTTTTAGCTTATTCAAATATTTATATTTTCTCTAGTTCCTTTTTTGAAATATTTTGGCTCATTCCATTTTCTGATAAACAACTGCTGTTCAAATTTCCTTTGTCCTAATAGATAATAAATGTTAGATTTTGAACATATTTATTTCTTCAAGGGATGGTTGGTAAGTGAGATGTCTTACAGATCAATACAGTGCCAAAGTCAGAGAAACTAGTAATTGGTTGTTAGTTCTGAAATCCTAGAAACTGCCATTTAAAAGTTTCTACCTTAAGCTCTGGTAGCGTAGTGGTTACGAATCGGGCTGCGAACCTTAAGGTTAGCGGTTCGAAACTACCAGCCACTCCGCGGGAGAAAGGTGAGGCTTTCTACTCCCGTAAGGATTTACACCCTCGGAAACCCCGTACAGGGTCGCTATGGGTCGGAATCGACTCGAAGGCACTTAACAACAACAACAACCTTAAAGACTCAAGAGGGAGAAGGGCACTGGCTTGTATGGATTCCTCAAAAAGGGATTTACTCTCGTACTTCTTATTCTTGCAGTCTGTTATTATGGCCACAGGGTTTACTTCTGATCCCTCTTCACCACTTCTGCCTGTGCACATGGCTCTACCTGGCTCCACTCACTGCTCATTTCCATCTTTCCCCCTCCTCTTCTCTCCCCCTTGTCACACTGAAATACTTGGCTTCCAGTCTTGTCCCCTACTTCCCCTGGTACTGCAGTTGTTGTTGTTGTTATGTGCCGTGGAGTCGGAACCGACTCATAGCGACCCTGTACAGGGTTTCCGAGGGTGTAAATCTTTACGGGAGTAGAAAGCCTCATCTTTCTCCCGCGGAGCAGCTGGTAGTTTCGAACTGCTGACCTTGCGGTTCACAGCCCAAGTCGTAACCACTACGCTACCAGGGCCCTTATATAAAGAAAGATCACAAGTCATGAAGAATAGAAAAAGGCTAAGTGCTACATGATTTTAGTGTACCAGGAAGCAGAGAAAGAAATGGGGGAAATACAAGGAGATGACCTGGAACAGTGGTGTGTGGTTAGGTGTAATATAGGTCCTGCTGTGGCACTGTGGGCTAATGCGTCATACTGTAAAGTCATTTGAACTGCAAGGTCGGTGGTTCAAGCTCACCAACTGCCCCTTGGAAACCCTATACAGGGTTGCTATGGATCGGAATCGACTTGACAGCACTTAACAACAACAGCTACATAATAACATATAAATAATTTATAGAAGTAATTTGTTCTCCTGGCAAAAGGTAGTCACCCAGAGATTTTAAGTTGTTTTGGCTCCTGGGAAGATGACTATATAATAAGGAGGGCTCAGAGATGGCCTTAGTGAGGTGGAATTGGAGGTAGGGAGAGTACTGGGATGCTGCTTTTTACAACAGTCAGTGGGAGAAATAAAGAGCTCAGAGTAGAACTTGCATTGGTTAGTGAACAAAGAGACCTGAAGTGTAGATATCCAGTATTTATTAGTCATTTGGATGTGAAGGGAGGAGAGGGAGTTTGGGATAATCCTCAGGGTCTGGTCTGGGTAACTGTACCAATAACTGAGACCCAAAATAAAGAGATAGAACAAGTTTGAGGGGAGGTATTAAGTGTGACTTTGAATCTGTTCAATTTGAGGGCTGTAAGATTATTAGATAGATGTGGTTAGTAGGTAACTGGACATGAGAGAGATTGAAGACAAGAGAAAGAGAGAGACTGGCCGATGGTACGAGACCCCAGCAGTGGTGAAATGGGCTCCTCCAGTGTTATAGTAGAGTGTATCATATGGAGAGTGGAATGGATCTTTCTCTGGGACTGGAGTGCAAAGAATGGGTGTATCAAGATATGCCTGGTACAGAAAAGGAAAGGGGATTTGTGTTTGCTAGCCAAAGGGACAAGGACATTGAGCATGAGTAGATAGGGAGGGCAGCTTGTGATGAAGGGTGAGGTTCTGTAAAGACTGCAGTGAGAAGACGAGGGAAAAGCAGGGCTTGTGAGGAAGGGGTTGCTGAGCAGGACTGAGGGCCTTTCTTTAGATTGGGATCATCATTGCACAAGAGCATCCTTCCCTGTCACGATGTGATTTTCTCTAATAATGGTGTTGGGCAGCAGGAACAAGGTGAGCAACCATCAAGAGCCTAGTACTGCTATCTAAGGGTGCATAGGAGGGAGGTTACCAGTTGGGGGTGCTAATATGACTGTGTGAATACTGACTTTTTGTGGCACACAGGCTGGGTAGAAGGTAAATGTGAAATTGGACTTGAAGAGGAACGAGTTGGCTTAATTGGACTGTGCATCTCAGCAGTGTGCACTTTCCCTGGCTCATAGGGGTGCCTCATAGACGTTGGTTGAGTTCACCAGGTGGAGACTGGTGGTTTTGTGCGAATCACCGAGGTGGGAGGTCAGAGTAATGGTGGGATTTTTGTATTTGTTTTGGTTATGGAGCAATTTTTAATTGTGTGTAGAGATACTGAGTATTGCCTCCACTAGGAAGGTGGCAAGAAAGACGTAGTGAGCCAGGGGCCAAGGCCTGTCTATGCAAAGTGCTGTGTCTATCTTGGATGTTGATGAAATGAGAAGTAGCCAGGAACTCTGCCAGCTGACTACTGCGCAGACCCTGAAGGTTAAGTGTTGTAGTAACTGAAGGGCCAGGGGTGACTAGATGACTTCTGAGGAAAGCCAGGTTGGCGGAGAAGGTGGGGAGGACATGAAGAGGATGAGAGTGTGGGACATTGTTTAGAATAGTGGGCTTCCTGAGGTGGGGGACGAAACAGAAAGGCTGCTGCAATGTTGTTGGCAGCGCCCTGGAGAGCTCACATCAGGAGTCATCAGGGTTGGCACTGGGCTGGTGGTTACGGGGAGGTGCATCATGGTAATAGGTTAGCTGCTCTGGCATGATTGTCAGTGCCACTGGAGCTTGCCTTTATCAGAAGGGACTTGTGCTGTGCTAGGATCATCATATTTGATCCTCATAACATATTATAAAAACGGAATCTCAGAAAAGTTATGAGTAGCTTGGTTCCAGTCCCAGTCCTTGCTGATTGTGGACTTGCCCTTCAAGTATTGTTCTGTTGAAGGATAGCATGGATGTGGGGATATTGTCAATTGAGTTTTATTGGGAATCCTGCTCTTTCCTGGTCCAAGCTTCTTGGTTGTAGCTCTCTGGTACTCTCTGGTGGCAGTGATGGTGTCGTGGCATTTCAAGATGAGAGTAATAGGTCCCCTGGTTGTTGTTTAGTGCCATCAAGTTGGTCATAGGTTTTCGGATGAGGAGCTGGTGGATTTGAACTGCTGACCTTGTGGTTCACAATTCAATGCTTATCCTACAGGACTCCAATAGGTCCCCTGAGCGGTGGGAGTAGCTAACTTGTTTGAGTGCTAACTAAAAGGTCTGCAGTTCAAGTACACGTAGAGGTGCTTTGGAAGAAAGGCTGGTGATCTACTGAAAAGCAAAACAAAACAAAAAACACATTGAAAACCTTAAGTAACACAATTCTACTCTGACACACATGAAGTTTCCATGAATGGAAATCAGTTTAGCGTCTACTGTGTTACAGAAAGCATGTTGTGAACCTGTCGCTTTCCAAATACAGCTTTTAACAGTTGTTCATGTAGTGAACAGCACACCTTACAGTGTTTAAGCATAGAGATTTGCACATGGAGTATGAAAGGAGAAACCCAGAGGAGGTACCACACTTCTTGGGTTAAACCCCTTTTCTTTTCCATGGGTAACATTCCTAGCAAGTACCTGGGACCATCTTTCCCTCATAGTCTGGAATGGTATGCTTTACTTATATCCTATTTCGTTGCCTGTTACTTTTAACCATGTTCAGTGCCACTGAGTCAGTTCTGACTCAAAGTGATCCAAGGAGTGGCTGGAAACCCTGTACTGGATCCTACATCACAGTACCAGGACTCCTATTAGCTTATAAACATACTTAAATATCTCTCACTAAAAAAGGAGTTGTGCTGTGGGATAAAGCACTAGATTGCAAAGTTGGTTTAAACCACAGTATCGGTGGTTCAAACTTATCAGCTGTTCCTTGGAAACCCTGTGCAGGCTTGCTATGATATAGGACCACATCAATAGCACTTAACAACAACTAAAAAAGAAAAAGAGAAAGATTTGAATCTCTTTTCCTCTTTCCCTTGTTAAACTCTGTGTAGTTAAACTTCTTAAGAGAATTGTTTCTTGAACTTCTTTCCTCCCACTCCTTTCTAAGTGATTTCCCGGTGGCCTCTGCCAGTCCTGGCCTTCTAGTAAAGCTGCCCTGTGGCTGCTAACTGGGAGAGGGGTACCATATTTATCACGGTCCTATGGGTAGAACAAAAGAGTGACTTTAAATATGAGGCTTCATGGGACGTCTTGAAGTTATAGCCATTCTGAATTTTAGCTATTGCTTTGCAATTTGAGTTGCTTCTCCTATGAAAATCTCTCTGAGCAACAGAGTTGTGTTTATTGACGCAGATTGGCTCTGCTAAGCCATATTGGCTATGTACTGACAGATAATGTTGATATTTTAGGGATATCATATTGGTCACTTCTTTTCCTTTCTGGATTCTGAATCACTTGAAAAATAGACCCAAATGTAAACATTGCTAATGGTAAAAACTGGACAGGAAAATGTGGCTTAGATGTTCTATGAGCAGTATGTGCCTTGGAGTCTGAGTAGGTCAGGTCTGCAGATGTGATCTTCACCCACAGAAACTCTGAGAGCTTGACTTTTATCAACCAGAGAAGATATGGATGACCAGTTATTGTCTCTAAATTACAAGTTTCAACTCTTTGGCTCTTCGTATCTGACTCTCCAGTCCTTAGTGAGATTTCCAAATTCTAATTGCCAGGTTTCACAGAAGAGTGGAGGCGTTTGACTGTACATAAAACTGAGAGTGATTTGCTGGGTTGAATTTGTATTCAACTGAAAATTCTTAGAACTGTTTCTACATTTTGAGTTTATTGTTTACTACTCATTGATTAATTAACAAGCTAGTCAGTGAAGTCAAGCTGTCAGTGTTCTTTCTGTTGCCATAGATCCAGTTTATGTCTCTTTATTTACAGGTTGAATATAAGCTGGGATTTCAAGTAGACAATTTTGTAGCAATGGACATGCCCCAGGTCAACATTTCTGCTCAAGGGGAAGTTCCACGTACTTTATCAGGTAAGTGTGTCTTCAATGGGAGAGTGTTCCAGCTGTGTTCCTACACCACAAAGGAAACAATTTTAGCTACTGATGTGCAGTGTGACTTAATGATGCTGTTAGATGCTATCGAGTCAGTTCCAACTCCTCGTCACCCTGTGTATAACAGAATGAAACACTATCCCGTCTTGTGCCATCTTCTTAATCATTGCTGTGTTTGAGCCTGTTGTTAAAGCCACTGTGTCAAAAGTCCATCTCAGTGAGGGTTGTTCTTTTTTTCACTGACAGCCTTTCAGGATGTCCCTCTCCACGAACTGGTCCCTCCTGGTAATGTGTCCAAAGTATGTACGATGAAATCTCACCATCCTCACTTCTAAGAAGCATTCTGACTGTATTTCCTCCAAAAGAGATTTATTGTTCTCTGACAGTCCATAATGTTTCAGTATTCTTTAGCAACACTAGGATTAAAGTGCATCGTTTCTTCTATGGTCTTCCTATTCATTGTGTGACTTTCACATGCATATGAGATGATTGAAAATACCCTGGTATGGGTCAGGCATACCTTAGTCCTCCAAGTGACATCTTTGCTTTTTGACACTTTAGAGATCTTTTGCAGTAGGCTTGCCCAATATCATATGTCATTTGATTTCTTGACTATTGTTTCTATGGATTTTGATTATGGATCCAAGTAAAAAAAAAAATCTTTGACAACTTCAGTCTTTTCTCCATGTGTCTTACTCTTACTCATCTTACTTATTAGACTAGAATAAGAAGTAGGAACTTAATAGACCTAAATATATAATTACTTTGAAAATTATAATACCATGTACTTAAACCACTTCCTCCATCTCCAATAGAGCTACCTGTATCAACTCCTCGTCTCCTTTTGCTTTGCTGCCACTGGTCTTCACATAGATCCCTGCGTTTGGATTTGATCCCCTTTTATTAACACTTACACTGTCCTAGATGAGCTTTACACACTCATGTTTGATTGTGTTAAACCTGTCAGTGCTTTCTGCCCCTATCAACTGGAGACACTCTAGATTCCTCCTGCCTGTCTAATCTTACTGCTGCACGTACCTGATCCGCTCAGTGTTTAGCAGTTTCATCTACATGTGGTTCTGATAGCCACATTTTTGCTTGTGTTGGTCTATGTATTTGAAACCATCTTTCCTTTTTCCTGCTCGTGAACTCCCATTCATCCTACTTTGTACGTAAGGCTCAGAGCCTATACTGTCCTTTACCTGTCAAACTTCTCTTTGAAAAACACTTATGTTTTTCCTGCTCCACTCCCCAGCCAGCTGCTGTCGAGTCTATTCCAGCTCTGTGACCCTGATTCGCAGTGACCCCATTTGTGTCCATTGGTTTTCAATGGCTGATTTGCGGGAATTAGATTGCCAGGCCTTTCTTCTTAGGTGCCTCTGAGTAGACTGAAACCACCAGCCTTCCTTGTATTTAACTCTTTGAACTGATCACCGTATATTGTCATTTTTTTGTGTTATTAGGATATGACTGCTCTGAGGCAAGCACTCTTAAATTTTTTTGGCTATCTTCAAAGTCCTTGTGTGGCATTGTAGGATAAGCACTTAACTGATAACCACAAATTCACCAGTTCGAACTCACCAGCCATTCTTGGGAACTGTATACCGGGGTCATTGTGAGTTTGAACCAATTCAGTGGCCCTCAACAACAACAATCCTCAGTGCTCAGAGTCCCTTGGTGGTTCTTGGATGCTAACTAAAATGTGGAAAACTTAAATAACTTCTCTAAATCTATAGAAAAAGCGTCTGAATTGGAAAGATTAAAGAAAAAAACATATGCACTAAAACCTGCTAAGGAGCCCTGGTGGTGCAATGGTTAAGCACTTTACTGCTAACCAGAAAGTCAGGGGTTTGAACCCACCAGCTGTTCTATAAGAGAAGAGATCTGGCAATCTGCTTCCGTAAAGATTACAAACGAGGAAATCCTATGGGGACAGTTCTGCTCCGTCACACAGGGTCACTGTGAGACACAATCAGCTCAGCGGAATGTAGTAACCACAGCAAGGTCTGTCTTCTCATTTCTACAGCTATTGATAAAAGTTCATGTCTGTTTAGAAAAGTGTTTTTGGACTCATAGTTGAGAATTTATTAGATTTGCATATGGGTTTCTATTTAATTTCCCTGTTATGAGCAATACATCATTGCATTTTGGTAGTGAACTGACTTTCCTTTTTGTCAAGTGATTTTTGTTCCTGTTGCTCAATGGTTGATAAGGTTAGCAGAGATTGCCTTACTGTTGTGTACCTTTAGGGAATTATAATAGCAGGATTTAGGAGGAAAAATGATATAGTACAAATTATGAATAGTGAATATTAACTAAATCTTCATTTATATCTTGGTTTGTCCTTTTAACTCCAATGGTTACATATGATGAATGAAGTAATGTCTGATACTGTGATAGTCTGACAATAAATTCTTTGAAAATTTGTTGTATAATTTTGTGTACATGTATTTTTAGTTTTAATGCAGGTGAAGTGAATCAAATGATTCTGAAATGTTTACTAGAACTCTTTTTAGACATTAATGTTGATTTGTAGAAAATTAAAAGACATTTTTTTTTCTTATGTTTTTAAACAGTGTTTCGAGTTGAACTCTCCTGTACTGGCAAAGTAGATTCTGAGGTTATGATTCTCATGCAGCTCAACTTGACAGTAAATTCTTCAAAAAATTTTACAGTCTTGAATTTTAAACGAAGGAAAATGTGCTACAAAAGTAAGGAATTAATTTCCCAAAATATGTGTTTTACATAGTTGAAAGAAGGTCAAAAATGGATTTTGGGGGGGGGGGGGTCTTTTACAGATTTAATTATACCAAATCTTGATTGTGGATTCCAAGGAAAAAGGAAAAAACACTAACAGATGGAATTCCTAGATAATCTCTAGATAGCTTGTAGCCGTGAATCTCACCCATGTTTTGCTTTCTTAACATCTGGTTAATCAGGACGGTTAGGATGTTTTCCATCAGGATTTTGAAGTACAGTAGCAATGACTGAAGAGGATGTAAACACAGGGAAATTGGAGCGAGGACCCTGAGTATTAGCAGCATATCTTTTATGATGATATTGTTCATGCAGGAGTCAGGAGGCTAGACAGACTTGGGTTGGAATCACTAGCGCTGATCATTGCAGGATGTTGGGACAAGTTACTTAACCTCTCACATTTTCCATCTGTAAATTGGGCGTATTACTTGTTTCAGAGTTGTTGTTTTCTTTAAAGATTTACTGAAGCAACCCTAATGGTTGAAATACCGTATGTGTGCACTTAAAAAAATAGTAGTAGTTTTTGGTTTTGCATTTTGTGTTATTTAGGAAATTACAGTGGGTATGAATGAGTTCCAGCACGTTGGGTTATAGATAAAAGAATTCAACCATAAGAATTAAGGTTGCTCATTATCTATCTTCATTTTCAGATGAGGAAGTTGAGGCTTAGAGATTCTGACTAACCTGCTAAGGTCAGACGGCTAAGAGGGGCATCTGGGGTGCAAACCCATGCTCTTAGCCTTTTTGTTTAACTGCCTCTCGACAGATTTCCTAGTGGAAATTATTGCTGAATGTTATGAAACTCTTCTGTCATAAGGGGTTGCTGTGAGTTGGAATTAATTTATCAGACCAGTAGCAGCAACCCGGTTTGGTGCTTTGGTATGTTTTCGAGTTCTAGTATGTTTTTTGTAATTTTAAAACCCAAGGGAACTTTAGAGATTTCTAGTCTAACCAGGTCTTTATCTAGCTGATAGGAGGATACCGAGCCCTAGAGAGGCTGCCAGCTTATACAGCCAGTCAGTGCATGTAGTAACCCAGTTCCTGATCCTTAGAGACGTGGGCAGTGACTATAGCATGGGACTTTGTCTGTTAAGGCTTAGAGACAGAGTGATGGCCAAACATGGTGTGGGCTATGGATTCCTCCATGCTAATATTCAGAACTTCTCTGTTTTCTTTAATCTGTAGGAAAACATTACATGCAAAATTCTATATTGGTACCATCTTCTATTTTGTTTTAAACTTAAATTTAATAGCATACCACCATGTTTATTTTTTGGCGGTCATATTTTTGGACAACCTGGTCATCTAGTACATAGTCATGATTTACTTAATTATGATCTTAATGTCTTTATTAATCTGGCTTTCAAGCCTACTGCATTAAAACAAAAAAAGCTAAACTAGAAGGAATGTGTTTAGAGATAGGCACACTGTCTGCAACCAAAGATCTATCTGTACTGGAATGCTAATATGTATTACTGACAAGAAAAGGTTCCTGTATCGTATGAGCATGGAGATTGCTGGATTCGACAAGTTTTGTTACTCTAGAACCCCTTAGAGCATTTATATTCAGCTAATGTGTACTGTGAACCTCCAAACAGACAATGTAGTCTGTCTTTTCTCAGACTACTTGGACCACCAAAATTCTTTCACATCGAGCAACTACAAGTAATACCCTGTGGTCAGTGATGATATGGACTATTGATTTGTGATTGTAATATTACTTATTTCAGGCAGTGTTTCAAATGAATACAAGCCTATTAGAGAACATGTGCTTAGAGTATGCTTTAAGGATTTTCACTGAAAAGAAACTAGAATTTCTAAAACATCTTTTATTTCCTTTTGAATTTAGAATTTGAAGAAGTGAAAACTTCAGCTTTGGACAAAAACACTAGCAGAACTATTTGTAAGTGTTGCTGTATTATCTTACTTCATTATTAGGGGTGAAATGTGAATGATTGCATTTGAACCAGTCATAGAAAGCTTAGAAGCTCTTGTTTCTAGTTTACCAAATTATAAAGGATACCAGGCTATTTCTTTCACTGATATTTTATAGATTGCTTTATAGGTTAAATCAAAGTATCATGCCACAGATATTTGAGTGCTTACTGTGCATGCACCAGGCACTATTCTAGATGATGAGGATACAGCAGTGAACATAAAGTCTTAAGGAGCAGTGGCAGGAGCTTCTGTGCATACTGTTGGTATAAGGTGCCCTCAAGTCAGTTCTGACTCCTAGGAATCGTATTGGGTTTCCGAGGCTGTAAATCTTTACGGGAGTGGAAAGCTTCATTTTTTCCTGGAAAGCAACTTGTGGGTTTGAACTGCCGACCTTGTGCATAACAACTGCCCTGTGCATATGTAATGGGGAGAAGTACTGTGGTGAAAAATAAAGTCAATGAAGGCATAGAAAGTAATGGAATCAGGAGAGGCTGTTTTAGACAGGTAATCGGCTCTTTGAGAAGTTGACACACTGGAGGGAGAACTACATGAATTAGGATGGGGTGAAGGGAAGGAGGAGCCTGGTGAAGATCCCGGAGAGAAATGATCTTGGCAGAGGAAGCAGATAATGTGACCCTGTGGGTTAGACATCGGGCTGCTAGCCACAGGTTGGCAGTTCAAATCCATAACTGTCTGCTCCCATAATGATTTACAGTCTCATATGTGCTGTACAGGGTCACTACAAGTTGGACTTGACTTGGTGGTAGTGGATTTGTGGGGGTTTTTGCATGTATTTATTGAGGATTTGTCACACTCCCCTCCACACATGTATACATGATGATGAGCAGCCTGTGGCTGTCTTTTTCATGTCTGAATCCCCAGCATCAAGACTAGGACCTTGTACAGAGCATGAGCCAACAGATAGTTATTGAATGATGAATACTCAGTAGATTTATGATGTGAGCACTCATCATCAAAGGCTCTTGGGATCTCCAGTCATACCAGTTCTGCTTCTTACTGTATGCCTCCTGCCCTTCTCACTCATACCTGGTATATCTTTGTCTCTGTGTCTGTTTCTGTGTGTGTATGAGTCTCACTGAATTATTTACTGTTTTGCTGAGTCTTTTTCTTTGCCTCTCTTTTCTGAGTAATATAAGGCTGAATATTATTTCATTTAATGGTTAGTCTTGTTTTCCTATTCTTATTTTTAAAAACAGGTAAATAAAAAATAATTTTGACTATTTTTAAAAGAGGAAAGAAGAAGATTAAGAGTTTACTTATTTTGAATTTGTGATTCTTCTGTTGTGAGTTTGTGGTCCTTGCCAATGAAAGGATTTCTGGTCCCCCTAACCCAGGCATGGCTTGGGAATTTACGAGGAACCTGTAGAACTTCTGTTTCTATTTACGTGTGGTAACTAGTAGACATGTGGCTAATTTTAAATTTAAAGTAACTAAAATAAAGTCAGATTAAAACTGCAGGCCCTCATTTATAGTAGCTTCATTTTAAGCCACAAGTACTTAGTGGCTACTATATTGAACAGTCTTGGAACAATCTGGACATCTGCCCTTGCTTTTGGTGGACATGGAGTAATCCAGGGGGATGGATGTTACTGTCCCTTCCTGTCTAGCCCTCTGACCACACACTGGTAGAGGTGGCAGCTAGCAGGGAGCTGAGTGCCAAGTGCTCAGGAGCACTCCCTGTCCCTCCACCCTTCACAACCCATCTATCTGCCTCTTAGGTTCATGGTCACCTCGTTCCTCCTCTCCCACAATGCAGTAGTCATCAGGAGTAGGGCCTGCCTTCCTACCTGTCAGGGAACTCTGAGGAAGAGAAGTCTTGGAGGACCCTACCCACACCCTGCCTATCCACACCAGGGCAGAGTGGGGGAGGATGCTTGTTTTCTCTCTGCAGTGCCATGCCTTCATCTTGGTCCTAGCTTTGATAACATGAACCTGCTTGATGGCACTGGAGATAAACAGGAAAGAAAAGATAGATTTCATCATTATGAGATATACTGTCATTTCAATCTGAAAAATTTGTGTGGAAAGTCCATATATCATTGTAACTCCATCAGGATTTTAGACTGGTTAAAATGGCACTTTGTATTTTGTATGTATAAAAAATGTTTTACTTTGAAGCTTTTTGCCTGTTTTCAAATAAAAACTGATAACAAAAAATTTGTATGTACTCAGTCTCTTGACAAAGAACTGGCAAATGGTACTAATTTTTTTTTCCTCCAAGAAAATTATACTTGTGTATTCGGTCATAAAAAATTTACATTTGTCTAAAAAGCTTACTGCGCTTTTCGTTTTTATTTCAGATGATCCTGTACATGCAGCGCCAACCACTTCTACACGTGTGTTTTACATCAGTGTAGGGGTTTGCTGTGCAGTAATATTTCTTGTAGCAATAATATTAGCTGTTTTGCACCTTCATAGTATGAAAAGGATTGAACTGGATGACAGGTATCGTACATATTTTGGGAAAGGAAAAAAAAATACAAGCAGTTATTTGCATGTACGTGGGAATCCACACTGGTGCATGCTGGTGAGGGGGACGGAGGGAGAATGAGCAGGCCAAAGAAGACTCAGATTCTCTAATTTGTGCGTCTCTGATAATTGTGTTTTCTAAAAAATTGCGAAGTCAGAAACGACAGTTTACCAGTTGTTGGTGAGAGGTGGAGATAAAAGCATTTTTCCCATCTCCTTTGACATGACTCTATTCTAGACTCCCGCTACCTTTTTAAAAAGCCCCTATCTCCCTCCAGGGTCTTTCCTCCACTTTATTTTCCATCCATCTCTCCAGCCACCCAGCCAGCCAGCAAACATTTACTGAATAGCTGATCTGGGTTAAATGAATGGATCTCAACCTAGTTGCACATGATTATCATGGTGGAAGCTTATTTTTCTTTACTCTTCCTAGATGATTTTGATGTATACCAGTTTAAGATAAACTGGGTTAGATATTATGCTGAGTAACAGGAATGAAGAAAAAGGGGACTAGGAATTTAAGAGGAAGATCCCCAGCGAGATGGATTGGCCAAGTGGCAGCATCAATGAATTCAAGTGTGGCAACAGTAGTGAGGTTGTCCCAGACTCGGGCAGTGTTTCATTCTGCTGTGCATCAGGTCGCTACTGACTCGGCACCTAACAACAACAGGAATTTAAAATTAATGATATATTTATGACTTCAAAGATTTAATCTTTGGCATTCACTCATGGGTTATATGAAGAAAAAACGTGGCATCAGAATTAGAGGAAGACTCATTAACAACCTGCTATATGCAGATGATACAACCTTGCTTGCTGAAAGTGGAGAGGACTTAAAACATTTACTGATGAAGATCAAAGAGCACAGCCTTCATTATGGATTGCATCTCAATGTAAAGAAAACAAAAGCCCTCACCACTGGACCAATAAACAACATTCTTATCAACGGAGAATAGATTGAAGTTGTCAAGGACTTCATTCTTCTTGATTAACTATCAACACTCATGGAAGCAGCAATCAAGAAATCAAATGATGTATTGCATTAAGCAAATCTGCTGCACAAGACCTTTTTAAAGTGTTGAAGAGCAAAGATGTCAGTTTGAGGACTAAGGTGCACCTGACCCAAGCCGTGGTCTTTTCAGTAACCTCATATGCATGTGAAAGCTGGTCAGTGAATAAGGAAGACCGTAGGAGAATTGATGCCTTTGAGTTATGGTGTTGGAGGAGAATATTGAAAGTGCCATGGGCTGCCAAAATAACCAACAGATCTATGTTGGAAGAAGTGTAGTCAGAGTGCCCTTGGAGGCCATAATGGCCAAACTTCGTCTCTCATACTTCAGGCATGTTGTTATGAGGGACCAATCACTGGAGAAGGATATCATGTTTGGTAAGGTGGAGGGTCAGAGAAAAAGAGAAAGACCCCCAGCGAGATGAATTGACAAAGTG